TTATATTATAATGTCACTATATATATATATATACAATTATATATATCGTCGCGCGACGCTTCGGGAGGCTGTTCCGAGTGGAAACACGTAAGACAGAACCGGAATGTAAATGGCGATTCGGAATAAAGTTCCTCAATTAATCCACGCAGAAATAATTTGCACGTTTACCCGTCGCGGCAAACCGCGTGTCTGTGATCTGTAAATCGCGCCTCGAAAGAACGAGTCCGGCACTTCGTACACATGTGTACATGCAAAAATTTGCGAAACGCGATACGTACACAGCCCGCGCATACACATATGACACCCGACACACACACACGCGATATCCAGAGAAACTCTGAGCCCGACTCCGCGATTCCGCGCGGAACGGTCCTGTGGCGAGCGCGACCAGCTCTTCAAACTTTAAACACTAATAAACTTTCTGACAATGACTAGCGTGTAATACATAACAATATATAATCGCAGAACGCGTGTGTGTATGTGTGTGCGTGCGTGTGCGTGCGTGTGCGTGCGTGTGTGTGTGTGCGCGCGTGTGTGTGCGTGCGTGCGTGTGCGTGCACATATTTGTGCACTTGTTTGTTTGTGTGTGCGTATGTGTCTGTATGCGACATGTGCGCGAGTGCATCGAAATACTCATCCGTGAAACGTGAAATAAGAGAGCAAAAAGAAGTTTATTGATATAGATATCACTGTTTTATCTATATACGCCGGGCGTGCTTAAAATAACGACGTTAACCCGGTTTATTATCGCTATCACTCAAATCGAAAGAGAAATTGAAGATGCTGTCCTTGCGATATTAAGGGAAGGAAGGAAGAATTTCCAATCTTTGTCACTCTATCTCTTTTTCTCGCTCTTTCTCACTCTTTCTAAGCGCTCACATCAAGTTGTGAATAAACATATCATACTTAATTAATATATTGGACAAAGAGGATATCATCGTTTAATATAATATAAATATATATACAAATATATATATAGGAGAAATATATATATGTATATTACAAAGGAATTACATTATATTGAAGCTATATTGCAAAAAAAAAAAGAAGTAGCTGTTAATTAACGCGTTAATGTCGAGCGAATCGCAAGGTAGGACATATCGGTGATTACAACGCAACAATCACGATCACGTGGTAGTGTTCTCCTGCTTTTATATTCTAATCATCGTAATCGGGCAGTGGAAGGTCTCTCGTGATTCAATATAAGTCGAGCGTACGTGACTTGGCATTTATTGATCGTCATATTGTTTCCGCTTTCTATCCGATCATTGCCAAATGAGAAAAATGTCGATTACAATTTCAGGGTTTTGGATAAAATTTCGAGAGAAAATGAATGACGAGAATCGACAGCGACATCGCAATGTCCCTTGGTTTGTTAAAATTGAAGGCATAATTCTTCAATTACTTTGAAGGAATTTGGTGTCCCCAAAAAAGAAATGAATAAAGAAAGTGAAAGAAAAGAGATAAGAAAAAAAATTAAGAAAGGAAGATGAAAATTCTCTATTAATTTTTTATTATATCACTCTCTTAGTGCAAATTAAAAATGAGAGAAACATGAATAAATGATAAATAGATAAATATACCACTCTCTTCCGAGATCGACATTTTTCTTCAGTCACGATCGTATTCTTCAAAATTTCTAGTCCCACGAAAATTATTCGCCGAGGTAGCAATCATGAATTGAAGAGATGTTCTTGTGAGCGTTGCTGGAGTATATAATTAAACGGCCAAATACATCATAGTAATAATATAGCGTAATATTGTATTATTATGATAAAAGCAAGATAATTCTCTATCTGTCTCTATCTCTTAGCGACGGCGCCGGTCAATCGTCCTTTGTCGTCCTTGCGCAGCGCCGATAGTGTTCCTTCGTGTTCTTGGCTGGTTATTTGCGCGCGATGATGCTCCACTTTTAGGGATGTGTCCAGATCCCTTCGCCCTGATCTCGCCCAGATCTTTCGTTCTGATCGCCGGCGGTTCTTCGTTCTTCGACTTCTCGTAGCATAAACATGACGATTGGCCGGTAATAAAGAAAAAAATCACACACGAAGTAAAAAATCGAGTTGATGTGTTTAATTGAAGTCTCTGGAGAAATTTTTTTTCTAAAATTCTTTATATAATTTTTCAGAATTTCTGTATAATTTTTTTTAGAAAACTTCTTGGATTTTTTTAAATACGAATTAGAATTCAGAAGTACTGAGAAATTCTAAAATTTTTTTTTAGATTTCTTCATATAAATTCTGAAATATTATATTTTAGGATTTCGTAAGATTTTTTATTCTACAATTTCTGAAGAAAATTTATAAACTGTGAAAAAGTTTAAAGTACCATTTTAGGAATCTTCATACATTTAAAATACAAATTCTTAAAAATATGAGAAACTTTTCATTAGAGATAAGAATCTTTTTCTTCATGGGAAAGATCGAATAAAAGCCGAACTGCAGATGTTGATAAGTAAATACTTATTTCCAATGTATACGAGACTGAGTTTATCAAGAGATCTAAAGATTGATCAAGAGATTTAAAGTAGATCGAAATCATTATAGAAATAGTCATCAATATATATGTATATTTTTCATCAACATCTGCAGCCTGGTTCTTATTGGCCTTTTTCTTATTCTCATCTCATGTCGAAGAGCATTTCATTTGTTTCTATTCTGTTGAACTTACTAAACCAACTTGAAGGGATAACTTTTTGTCATTCTCTCTCGGTTAAAACACGAGAAAGAAAAACAGAAAATTGAGGATGTGAAACATCCCCTTTTCCCCTTTTTCTTTTTCGTGTTTCTACCGAAATGAAAAGTTCTTTTGGTCCTCTCTCTCTTCAGCCCGTCCTCCTTCCGTCACCCCCTAGACTCTCTTAATTTGATCCTTCGCTTTATCTCTTTTAGATTTCGAGATTCGAGATTTCGGTCATGGTGCTATAGTATTTGTATATGTACATATATATACTTATATAAATCGTTGGTTAATCAATATCGTACGATTAATAATATTATTGCGGTTAAAATCCGATTATTATCGCTGTGCTCCTCCCACTGCTATTATTATTATCATCGATATGTTTATTATCATTAGTACTATTATTATTATTATAAATATTATTACGATTATTATTACTAAATATATCATTATTATTATTATTATTATTATTATTGCTACATTGATTGTACTTATTAGTGATTATGATATCGACGTTATATATCATCAGCGGCGCTATTTAAGTCAAGGAAAAGCAAACGCTAGAATGATAAGACGGTCCAGACGGTTTTTGAAATACTTCTATGTATTCCGCCCGCAATTGCTAAGACTACATAATAATCATTCTTCGGTTTAATGTAGAATATTTCAGTTATATGCATTGCACTTATGCATACCTATCTCTTCGACACACATCAAAAGCAGCGACATATATCCATAAATATACATATATAACAGCCATAAAAATTCGCACAAGTTTCACCAACAAATTCTGTAGAGTCAATTTCTCCCTGACTCAATTCGTCAGTTCCGTTTTATCAGTGGATTTTTATTTCATTTTGACTTGCCAATATATCGATGTTAAATACTTTTTGAAATAAGATTTTCTGTTTGAGTCTATCAATTTAAAAGTAAAACGTTATCTATTAATTCAGATCATAAAAAGTTATATATATCTATATTTTCAAATACTTTATTTCATTAAAAATTATTTTTATTGGGAACAGATCGATTTTAAATCAATTATAGAAGAGAAGGATATTTTATTATATCGTACATTTGCGCGAAATTGTGTCCATCATGTTATACGTTTAAAGATGCTTGACAAAGGAATGCGAACATTGTTTGAAAACAAAATTGTTAACAAATTTTATCACCATGTGAGATTCGTTTACATTCGCAAATTATTTAATTTATAAAG